TATCTCAGCGATATTTTTATTAGAGATTATTACAGCAACTTCAAGAGATTTGACTAGCTCGCTTGTACTGTGAGAGCATTCAGAACATAGACCAACGTAAACTCATCCTACAACTTGAATTTTAATGTAAATAATAATAATTATACCATGTATTAAAGAATAAGGAGGAAAACAGGGGCAAGCAAGGAGGGGGGAAAACAAGGCTTGGCTTGCAGAGAGGAGCACAAACTCACCATTTTAACCTTTCTGGACAATAAATAGCTGGAGATGTACATGAGTTTCAATGATATTATACATCTCATGATCCTAAACCTGGAAAAAGAGAGAATTGTTCAGAATCTACAGCAAAGAAGGCCCTCCTTCCAACTCCTATGCCTTCGGTGATGTCTTCTGTCGGCTTTCGCCATTCTGACTGGGCTGCTATCCCATTCATTTTGCAGTCTGCAATCAGAATATGTGAAAACTTTAGTGCAGTTCTCAAACATTTTCTACTAAGCTCTTCAATAAAATCATGAAAGTAGAAACTAAGTGGCAAAAGATGTCCATGCATTAAGATTTTTTTAAGAATTCAATAGCAACTACTCAAGAGAATTACTGCTGACGATGAGGCATTGATTAAACCAACAAGTTTTATGGCAACTTACATGGGAAAGGCAAAGGAACGTGTGCTAGTTGCGTTGCTATCCGATTGAAGCGAAATGCTGCCGGAAAAGGGTACGGGTCCCGAGTAACATATATGACTAGATACGCCTACAGTTGAGAAACTTGACTCGCCATTGCAGTGAGAAACTTGGCTTGTAATGGACCTCCCATCTTCAGGCTTAGCTGTATTTTGGAAGTCATCACATTCACAGCGACCATCTTGGTGGCATTCCTCTTTACTACAAAAAGCCACAGAATCTGCAGGAACAAAGCTGCTATCCCTGACAAGGATATGCCTATCCATTTCATTGACTGAAGGGTTTGCCAATACTGTTTCGTCAACTCTGTTTTTGGACTCTTCATGCTTGGAAAGTGATTCAGCTCACTACAGACCTACATGTCAAGAACAAAGGTCAGTTCCAGATATTTATATCTTGTCTTGCAGTTTGAACTAGGTTCCAAGAAAAGCTTCATCAAAGTAGGTTAATCATTTTCAACATCTCAACAAAGCTTCTCCGGAAGATTTTATTGTTCCCAGACAGATATGGAGAATAAGTCATAACCTTGGAAGGACGAGTAGTGGTAAGCATTTAGAAATAGAGCAGATAACAGATTTTCTCTCTTTTTAAACATACACCTTCATAGCTACTAGTTCAATACACCAATGATACAAATAAATATTTTGGTTTCTACACAATATTCAAAGTTCATAGTCAAACACAAAAGCCCTTTTAAATTTTGACTTCAACGTGTAAACAAAGTACAGATCAAAACTAAGCTATTGAGTGAAGAGACGTTGACATTTTTCTAATGATTTCAAGCATGACACATGCGAAAAATATTCGATCAATCTTTGGGAAAGGAGCATATAAGTTCCAAATAAAATCTAACACAAGCGAAAATGAAAAATACCTCCGCATGGTTGAGTTCAACTTCATCACCCGGATCACAAGGCCTAGCTTCCGGTTCTATCTCTTGCAACGAGATTAGACCGCCAGGTAAAACCATTTCTTTGTTCTGATCAGCAAAATTTTCAGAAGCATTCTCATCTCTCTGAATCAAATTCTCAGACTGATGATGTTTAAGAGGAAACTTATCAGATTCCTTGATTATCGTTACATCTAGAACGTCTAGTAACGGCACACCAATCTCGCCGTTGTCTTTCTCTGATACTTCAGTTTTTGAAGTGTCAAAAGGCAAGAATTTAGAAACATCCTTTTCATCAGCACTATTCCCGTACCGGACCTTATCCATGGGAGGGACTCCTTCATCAACACATATATCCTTAATAAAATGGCAATTACTTTCTTTGCAACAAACAATGAATTCAGGTTGGCTTTCTGTCACACATTCATCTGAATAGGTATCTTCTGAATTCTCACACGAATCTAATTCTTCTCGAGAATCATGGATCCACACATCATGGGAGCTTTTTGCATTAGATGCTTCTGTATCTTGGGAAGAATGAGAGACAGGCGAAACAAAGTTCCAGACCTTTGCTTCATCATTATTTTCTAAATCAACAACGCCTGTAGGGCAACCAAGCTTTGAAGCAATCAAACCATCCACCTCCTCCATGTCATATTGTGTTGGAATTGAATTCCCCTCGTTACTCTTTAAATCAAAGCAGATCCTTTTCTCATTTTCGTTCACTTTCTTGCTTAGTGATTTGCACAGGATGGAGTCTGGATTACTGTCATTGAATTCAAAAGATTGAGATTCAGGTTTAAGACCAATATTTGGATGGCAAAAGGCCAGTTCTCCCTCTGCACAAACATTTTCATGTTAATGAAATATAAAATCACGGTTCCATGTTTGAAAAACAAATTAGTGAATAGTGATAGTGGGGGTTAATGATATAAAATCATTAATGACGCCACTTTTGGGGAACAGTTACATTAATAAGCAGATACATATGGCAGCTAAAGACAGTAACAGAGAAATCAGAAGTTGACAGTCTATTACCTAGTTTCATGGTTCAACTGGACTTACTTTACCGCATTGAAAAATTTTTCTCGCTTCAACCAATCATATTTTCAATCAAACACTGCTATGATAATGCCCAATATTTTGCAGGACCCTGAATATCAGAAAAGAGTAAATAGGAACAGGTTTAGCAATTAGCAAGCAACTAATGGCAGCGGGACTAAATGCATGTAATGAAAACAATAGCACTAGCAAACTCTGTTGACAAAATGCTCAAAGCCAAGTATCAATAACAAAGTTCCTATCGATTATACAAGGATAATCTCATCCTGAAAAATAATGAAATAATAGTAATTAAAAAAGAAAAAGCTAATATTCATAAGGGACCTTATAATTGGATTTTAAAAGGAAGTTAACTCTGTTCTGTCACTGATACGTTATACCCTGTTTATTAAACATCGAATGAAATTTCTACTGATGTCCCTCAATTATAAAGTATAACTATGAGCTTAATCAGGGCCATGAGTGTTTACTAAGAGCCTCAAGAGTATAAACTTGGTAGAATTGCTATCGGTAAGTTTTGATAATTACTAATTAAAATAAACAGTATCGGCGTCTATGAGTAAAGGACAAAAAGCAAGTACCAGTACCTTTTCTTTATTATAAGTAAAAGATTTCCGCCTAGTGCAGTTTTCAATGTACATAAAAAGACAAAAGCTAAGTTTAAAATCATCGGAGTTTTAAACTGCAAAACTCCAAAACCACACCGCAAAACCTACAAAACTACAAAATACAGTTCAAAACACAGGACCTGGACAACTTTGACTCTAAAAATTCTATTTTGTTTGTTAGCTCTGCTTAGATCTAACCCCCTAGAGGCAATTAAAAACGAAGCCCAGAAATCCAGAGAAGTATAATGCAAATCCCAGCTAGGCTACAATCCGATGGCATGAAGGAAATCAGCAACCATAGACAAGTGTAAGATCCATTTCAGATCCCAAAACCTTTATGGCCAACAAAACGACAGGAAGAGAAAAGACAAAAGGGAGGGAGGAAAACTATATGCATAAACTGAAAGAAGCAGATTATAATATGCTTCATACAGTACCTTTTCTTCTCGATGAGACTGACTTCAGGAGAGACCAGTTAGGAGCCAAGTTAACTGGGCTCAGAGACAAGAAAGACAGAAACAAGATGCTGCAACAGCAATGACAATTTTAAATTGCTATGAGCAGATAAAGATAGTTGGAAAAGAAAGGGTATTCCAGAAACATTCCACGGATATGAAATTAAAGCAAAAGCAGAGAGGTAAAGGAATTACCAAAGACCAAAGCCAGAAAAAGATGGAGTTTGCTACTTTGCTTTTGTTCGGAGAGTATGACGAAGTATCGGAAAAGAAGAAAGGAAGGAGGAACAAAAGAAAAGAATCGTATCGTAGTATGTTTAAACAGAGAGAATATCAATTGTGAGTGGGAACTATAGAGCCCTAATAATGGTCAGCCGTAGTAGCTGTTCATCCCACGTCTCCAGCACCTAATGTAAGAGCTTTAAAGAGAGCAACAAACAACCCCTGACCTCCACAATCGCCTATTTAATAGGGCATGTTAGAGCATTAAATAGTGGCCCCTACCCCATCCCGTTTCAGCGATTTAATTTCATACCGAAAATTAATATAAGCGCCTCTATGGATCTCTTTTCACTCCTTGTTTTGTTTACCTACCCATATCACCCGTCTTTGGATTCCGCCAAAAAGTTAGATTTATCCTCTTTTGTTTTTTTCTCGGTCGTCATTTTTCCAACCTACCAACCACTGAGAATTTTTCCGAGAAAATTCGTGAGGAAAACACAGAGGGAAAGGGGGAGACTCAACACTTGAACTGGGTGGTCGGGTGAAACCCGCCAAACCAAAGCGCTATACTTCAACGACCTCCTTCGGATCCATAAGCAGAGCAACGAGAACTGAAGAAGGCTGTGACTCACTTGTTACAAAACAAATCAAGCAAAAAATAAATGAAAAAGGACCCCATTATGGGAATTCGAGTGTTTATGAAGTTTCAAGGGATGGAGAAGGAAGAAGAAAGGGACGGTGGCCTGTATATGCGATCCATATCAGAATCTTCCCGCTTCTTCTGGATATGGCGGTGCTAATTCTAAATGCTCCAGAAGCCATTTTTATTTTGTAAATAGTTTCGCAGTGATTTGGAGGGAACTGCGACAACAATTTGTTCTTCGTATATTAATTCAAGAGTTCAGAATTCATTAAGCAAACTCATGTTCTCTGATTCCGCTCTTCCAAGCTAAAACGGGACGAAGAAGAAGAAGAACAGAGTTTTTCTTTTTTTTTGTTGGGTCAAAGAAGAAGAAGAGATTTTGAATGCAAAGATTAGTGAATTTTTTATGCACTTTGATCTTTAAAATTTTTTCCCCAGACAGGGCCATCCTGAATTCCTGATTGGAAAATTTTCATCTTTGAAAAATTAGATTAAGAGGGGTGTTTTTTCAACAAGCAAATAATGTTTTTAAAATTTTCAATAACGAGATACAAACAGAGTAATAAAGTGGGGAGGAACGAACCGTTCATTCATATAGTAAGCGGAAATAATCGAAACAAAATCTATTGATTGGACGACACGGAAGGAAGAACAAACATGGGATCAGTTTCATTTCTTCTTTTTCATATCAGTTTTGTTTTTAAAAAATAAAAAACTGTCATATATTCTGAAAAATAAAAATGTTAAATTTTGTTCTACAAAATATACTTTTCAAACAAATTTTTAGTTTTTTAAATTTTCAAAACTTGTTCTGAAAAAACTACTCTAAAAAATTGTTCAAGAACATGAAAATAAAAAAGTAAAATATTGCCTCTCGATAATGGCATCCCACACCTCCTCTCAAAAATGGTTAAAATAAAATAAAATAAATAACACAAGCCCATAACATTCCATCCTTGCAGTATTTAATTTTCATTTATCTTTATATATACAAGATATGAGCATTAGCACTCCCCGCCTTCCTTGTAACTTTTGTGGTCAAACACACACAACCACAAAGTACAAAAGACGACAAAAACAGACAAGAAGACACAGCTTCTTCGGATGACAGCCAAGAACATACATTGTGGTCAAACACAAGCCATTGAGAAATCCAGCTACGTTCTTTCTTTTCATCTTTCTTTTCATGGGTCTCTCTATTTGTGGGTAATGCTACCAGTCTGTTTTCTTTCCTTTTTCAATTGGGACACTGACCCTTCAGCTCAGGGGACATTGTCCACCAGCTCACACTATACATATGGCCCCAACCATGATTTGTTTCCTTTTAGCAGTGAGTTCTCCAACCTGATGTTCTTAGAGTTGGCCCTGAAAAATATGAAATATATATATGATGTTTTGGCATTTTCCTTCTGGACAACATCTATTGTAGATCAAGGCTACATTTAACATTGGCCAACATTGCAGCTCATTTTCTTCGAATGTTTTGTACAAATATGAGAATCTGTAATTTCCAGCACCAATGGTCGTATTTGGCAACTGTAGATATAACCTTCATTCCATAGCTCCATGATATGAAATTAACAGGGTTCTGTAAAAATTACAAGATGGGCTCCCAGCCATTGTAAAGGCATATGTGAGTATATCACCCCTCAAAAAATACATGTGTCATATCATAGCAAGTTTATATCGTAAAATCAGGTACAGCAGATTTTCTTTCCTAAAGAGTGCTACATGTGGCAGCTATGTAGAGAAGAATCTACTCATTCTTCACTTTTCTTATGAAATATAAACTGAGGAAGATGAAAAAAAATGGCTGGCTTCAACAACCCCTGAATTTCTGGACAAACCAAGTCATCTCCTACTTCATTTATCAGTATAAAATCATCTAACATGATTGCAAATCTGGGATGCTACAATCTTCAGCCTGCTTTCACCTTCGCTGTGTAGAAACTCAGTTTCTTGAACATTCATCCTTCAAAATCAAAAGAAGTCATTTGGCTTGCCAATTTTAATATTCTTCCGAGTAAGGAATTCTGTTATGGCATTCTTCTGCCAGCCCTTGAAACTCCTGCGAGGTGATGGTTGAGGATAACCAATAGCTACTTAGAGACCAGAGTGTTATTATAATTGCAAAAACAAATAACTGCTATAATAGGTTACGAATCATCACACATCATTAAAACATTCTCAAATATTTTTAGGAAGTAGTTCAAGAGAGAGCAGTGGGAAAAATATAGAACCAAAAAGGAAAAATACAAAACAAAACAATGGCCCAGCAGAAGCTTACTTGTGGTCAAGATGGGCAATAATTTCACCGCCAGGAAAACCAGCTCTCGTGGCCTCATAAGCAGCAGTTATAGACGCTCTCCAAGTCCCACCAATCTCTTTCTCACCTGTTCCTGCTTTTGACTGGCTTGGATCATCCATAGGCAAGGAATATCCAGAAAGTAGGTGACCCACCCAAACGTCGCCTTTCCTAGCATTGCAAGAACAGAGTAAGTATATTCATATTCCACGTGACCCTGAAGAACTGATAGAGTGGGAAATCATAAATAATTTGTCAGCATCAATAGGGCTTTATTAGATATCTAGATGTTGCGTCACCAGAAGACACGCATCAATCAAATAAAGCAGAAGTTGAGGTCGAAAAGGTTTAAGAGGTTTTAGAGAAGCTGGATTTTCGTCAATTTGAATTTAACCTTTTGTTTTTTATACGTGGTCATACTCAGGAAATTCAATTTTTTTTAGAAAAAAAATTAGAGAAAACACAAAGTAGCTCTTACTCAATGACTACTTACATGACTACATCCATATGCCGAGGTGCATAATGTCCACCACCCATCCCAAGAAGGATTTTCTTCTTATCATTCTCCCTACAGCAGGACGAGAATCAAATTTAAGTCAGAGAAACTTCCCGATAAGGAGAAAGCTATTATAATCAGAAGTCCAAATTAAGCATATATTGATGTTACACCCATTAACAGGATGACAGAATAAGATCCTGAAGTTAACCAGAAGTGAAAATGAGATGACCGCAGTCAGACTAATTTCTTCTATCCCATTACGTTTTCCAAGATGGGAAGACCTCATAATTAAATTATGGGCACCAGATTCAAAAAATTGCAGTGAGAACAGTCACTAAGTTCATATTGAAGACAAACAAATCATGCAAACCTTGCATTGAACTGCATAAGAATTAGTACCGAGCAACCAATTTTTTTTTTTAGCTCAACGGTTCTACCTGTTCCAGTTTCCTATATCTGCCCCTCCTCCAAGCCCGAGTCCTTCCCAGACTAACTGCAAGAATTCAAACAAGAGAAATTCAATAAACAAAATAAATTACCACTTTAGAGCAGTCTATCTAATGATGATATTGTTTATTTGTAATTAGATTTAAAATTGCATAGAAGAAATTTTGAAAGGAAAAAAAGTTATTCATGCAAGAACATCATAGATACTAATGCACGGGCTATAATTGAAAGGGCATAAAAGACCACTGGACCTGAGCAATAACTTCAGCAGCATCCTGCCTCTTCCAATAGTCTTCAGTACTTCCTACACCAGAAAGAGAAAACCCATCGTTCAACAAACATTAAGAATAAGTTTAGCTAATTGCTTCTTCAGTAAATTTTAAAATGTATCTTAGGGCATGGCAGCCACAAACTGGCAAAGAACCAAAGGTAAATATGTAGTTTATAGGAAAAGAGGAAAAATTATGAAGAAAAGAATCTCGAGCGTAGCACACGTGAAAGACCAGGGATAACAAGCTAATCAAAAGGAAAGACGAGGCAAGAAAAGAAGGATTGAACAGAAGTGATAATATTTGGACAGGAAATTATGCTGAATAAAACAGATATTTACTAGTGTGGACCCAGAAGTCAAGTAAAACCACAGAATTAGGAAATAAAATTTTCTAGCTGTGACCTAAAATGGATTGGACAGGGGTCATAATGTTGGACGAGAGATAACGTAAGCCCATATGTTAAAATGATTTGAGAGTGAGTAGGGTCAAATTTTTAGGGACAATGAAGATCGTATATTGGAACCATTGAAGCCACCATAAAAAGGATTCAGAGATACGTTCAGGGTTAAAACAATGAACAAGAATTAGGGAAAAAGTAAATGCACGTTACAGGAGATTTTCACATCAAAGGACAACAGTGACAGCAAATTATACTGCTAGGCAAGCTTCTTTTTCATTGCTCCATCTTTTTTCCACATGGAAAACTGAAAAAGATGGCACCTTCTTGACAAATAACACGGATTCAACAAAGAAGAGAAAACACTAAAAAAAAAAATTAAGACAACCTCAGCCTAATAACAGTAGAAGCAAAAACCTAGCAATTTTTTATACTCGTTTTAGCAACTAATGGATCATGCAGAATGCTCTTATTATGGTATAGAAAACATCAAAACTGTCAACTAAAATAATCTGAAAGGCAGAAAAAAGAAGCACTCACCAATCTCTAGAAACATGGTTGGCTTATTTGTCAATGGCCCATGATGAGTAGCCTCCAAAGTGATCTAAATTGAGGAAAAAGAATTTGTCTAAGAATCTTTCACAAAACTAAAAAAATAATGATCAGATCATTGGCTAAAAGGTTAATGATGCAATCATAACAAAGCTATTGATTGCCCATTTCTAAACTACGACCACAGTGGGATCATAAACTAGGGAAGAGCATTTATCATCAGACAAGAAACACCAGAAAATTGAGGGAAAAAACGTAACCTAAATTCCAAAGAAGTAAAAGGATACCTCGAATTCAGGGACCAGGTTATGATCTTGAGCAAGTTTTTTCAAATGCCGAATCCAAGGCCCGATCCGAGGGCTCGGTATTGCTGCCCATCCAGGTTTTCCACCTTGAGGTGGAACATCACCTTCACGCAAGTGAGGCACCCCTACGAACACATAACAATATAATGTTATATACAGAACTTTTCACTTCAGAAGAAACCCAAAAGGTTCTGCAAGAAAGTACCAATTGGGTGAACGGTGAGGGCAGGTTTATTAGAAACTGCGGTGTGCTTGCTGAAGAAGATGACCTCATCGACCACCTCCCCTGTCTTGTCCTCCCACCTCTTGTCCAGATCGTCCTCTTCCACTATACCCTTCCCATGCAGCAACACTCTAGCACCTTGATTCACGAAGCTGTTCATGTCATCCTAAATTGACCCGACACGACAAAGTGACAAATCAGCAGACTGGAACAATGAAAATCGGGATGATGGATTCGAAAAAGGAGAATCTTTCAAACCTGGAAGTGCGGTCCGGGCTGCCATCGGGGCTTCGCCAACAAGGCATTGGCCGGGTTGATCGAAGCTGGGTCGGTTGTTGTTGCCACCAGTAGTACCACCATTGCCTCCTTTGTGTTCTTTCTCCGAATTTTTTTCTGGGTCGGGGTTGAAGCTGGAATGATGCATGCGATCTGAATATAATGATATATATAAATGTTCAATTTTTACGCGCAGAAGGAGACCAACTTGATTTTGAATACTAGTAAGGGGCTCGGCAGGAAATCTGGCAAGGGAAGGGTGTGGGGCATCTCCAATACGTGGGGCGGGGGCGCCCACGGGGAGGATACTAACAAACAGTAACATTTAACTGTCGCTGGAGGTTGGGCTCCATTACTGCTACAAACTACTTATGGGCTCGACAGCCCATATTATTGTGTTGGATCGAATGATTAATCATGTTGCCCAAAAGGCTTAAGGGCCTGTTTGGGTGTTCCCCAAAACCATGGTTTGGGAGGGATGTCACCCAAACAACATCAATTTTGGGCCAATAATCTGAAACCATGATTTTAGGACAAGTGAATTCATTCTGCTTCTGACTCAAATTGAAGAGTATGATTGTGCTTATCAGAATAAATCTCAACAATAATATGACTTTAACATCCCTCAATTATTTTTTTATAAACATATTTAATCTTATATCTTATAAATATATATACACATATTAATTATTTATTAATTACATTATCTTATGTATTATTAATTATATTGGTAAAAAATATATTATTAACAATTTTATTCCTTCAAATTAAAATGTATCATAAAATCTATCTTTTATGTAATTATCATATTAACTTATGTTTTTTTAAAGTAATTTGTATATATAAAAATTGCTTCTGATAATAACTATCTAAACACGCTCATTTCTCAAAATCACTTTTTTAAAAAATCTATTCTTCACAAAATTTATCTCCCCATAATCTATTCTCCAAAAACTATTCTCCAAACCATGGTGGTTTCATCCAAACACCCCCTAAGTTTCTGGTTTTTTTGGTCCCAATTTAGATGGGTGGAGATTCAAGCTGTAATTTTGTATCCCACTGGAAACACAGGGGAATCAAGATTCAAATTTTCCATGCAGAACGAGAATAACTTGATTGTGATTTCACTAAGCCATTCAAATTAAACTTTAATTATAAAATTAATTTAATCCCATAATTTTGACTTAGTGTAAGTCAATTTTAGCTATTTATCTGTCAATCCCAACATTTGATAACTTTGACAGCTCAAGACTGTCGGGCATTGAATATAAACGTCTTTCCTAAATAGGATTCTAGATGTTAGCATCTCTTAGAAGGGGTTCAAACATTAATTCAATATACTGTCAGGAGTTAGCCACTTTCACTAGAACTAACCCCAATAGTATATAATTACTTTTTTTTTTTTTACTAGGTATAGGTATTCTCTTATTCAGTATACATCCCGGTAGGAATTCAAACAAGGAGACACATTCATTTTCATAGGCCGGGCTCAATTCAAGGACCACAAGGTAGTTAATGGACCGGAAAGCCCATGTAGATGTTTCATGCAACCATGAAATAATAACCAATGCCAGATTTACCATTAAGAGTGCTTATCAATTAATTGAAGATACGACCCGGTTTTTAAATTGATATGGCAATGGAAAGGAGCTGAGAGGATTAGAACCTTTTTATGGAGGATTTATAACAACAAGCTACCAACAAATGCTGGGAGAAGCACTTGGTCTTCTAGTTCGCCCCTTTGTAATTATTCTCAGGAAGGAGTAGAAGACATTCTGCATATTTTGCGCGATTGTTCTTATGCAAATAATATGTGGCTGGAGAACCTCAAACAAAGATTTGTGCAACCTTTCTTTTCCCTAAATTTGAAAGATCGGATTTCCCCCAACCCTAAACAAAATCTAGGGAAAGTTGATAATGATAACTGGAGTCTTTTCTGGGTGTGGGAAGTGTGTAAACTCTGGAATTGGAGAAATAGTGATGTCTTTGATGAAAACTTTGTCAAACCTCCTGATCCCTCCTCTTATTTGAAGAATTGCAGGAAATTTTTTGCTCTGACAAATGAACCTTGTGGAAACAAAGGTCCAAGTTTAATTATGCTGCTGAAACTTCCTATTCTTGGACGCCACCTCCTATTAATTGGGTTAAACTGAATGTGGATCGTGCCATGGCTATGGACTCCAACAAAGCTGGTTGTGGTGGTTTGCTACGTGATTACAGGGGTCAATGGATTGCTGGTTTTGCTCACCAAGTTGGTATTTGTAGTGCCCAGGAAGCTGGAGAATGGGCCATTTATAGAGGTCTGAATTTAGCTTGGGATTTTGGACTTAAACAGGTGATTGTTGAGTCAGATGCAAAACATTTAATTGAGCGTATCACGAGACAGAACCGAAACAATAGTTGCAGCCTTCTGTTCATTCAGACTCAAAACATGCTGAGTTTCAACTGGAATATCAAGTTAGAATATATCTGAAGGAAAAGAAACTGCGCCGCTGATCATTTAGCTAAGTTGGGAATTTCACACTCTCAACTTTTTGATTTTTGCCCGCATAGTTTAAAGGATCTGATAGAGGAAGAATGTATGGGATGCAACCCCAGTGACGTTTAATTCTTTGGGCTCTAGCCCTCGTCTGTAACAAAAAAATAAATAAATAAATAAATAACCAATGCCAGACAGGACACATCATTATCAAACAAGGAGACACATTCATTTTCATACCGAACAAAAACTAATTAACCAGACCTAACTACTACTAAGACTAGGTAGCAGAAAACATTAATCATGCCCAGACATATTAATTCACAAAATCTTGCATTCAACAAATGGTGTCCTCATGTGTAAAAGTAAACAACCTAAGCTAACCCCATAATAGTATAGTTTTGGGGAAGGAACAGGGTACGTGTATTATTGATTGCTTGTAAGAGCTAAAAAGGGCATGTTTACATGAAATTTGCTTAAGTTTGGTCACACCAAAATTAGTCTATCTGTTCCGTTGGTAGGTCGTTGCATTATAGAGCCTACCCACCATAACTTCTCTTATTGTACCTTTTGTTTTATTTCCCCTCATGCTTCACGTGTTTTCTTTTCTTTCACTCATCTTTCCTTTATTTTTATTAAATTAAGCCCCCCATGTGGAGTTTTTTTGTGGCCAAATAGGGAAAATCTCCGATTAAAAATTTTGTTGGTGAAAGGGACCTGAATTAGAGTATCGGCATTATGTGTATACAAGATTTGTAGAGAACCCTTGCGTATGAAAAATTAATTATTATGTGGCTCTCACCAGTAAAATTTTTAAATGGAGATCTGTTTTTTCTCCTTAATTTTTTTTAACTTTTTTTTAAAAAGGGGGAAATTGCTTGTGAATATGAGAATATTGAGAATTGGATCCGCAACATTATTCTTTATCAATTAGCTGTGCTTTTCATTCTGCCGGAGGGAAAGTAATTTGTACTTTTCAGTTTTTTTATTCTTTCGATAATTTAGTGTGACAGTTGCTGATATGTTTTTAAGGGCAATTTTGCATCTCATGAGGGCCAATGGACTATACGTTGCACACTTTAAAGTTGTCGAAATAAATAGTATTTATATTAATTATTTCCGTGATTTTTGTATATGTGCAATCAATAAGTACCCTTCATTCATTTTTCTTAATTTAGATTAAACAACGTGTATTTTCTCAAGGTTAAAATATTCATAAATAACTTCTCTAAATTTATAATTGTGTTTACTTGAGTATGGGCCAGGGTGTATAAAACCATCTGCGTGCGGCCTGCTTTTGGTTTTAAACTAAATATATTTAAATGTCTTTATGTTTTAAATAAAATGAAATGTGTAAAATTTGAAATTTCCATAGCACTTTTTGGCCCCAAAAAAAAGTCTTAAATTATGTGTGAGTTCTATTATTAGTTTACTACTGTATTATTCAAAGTCACATGCATGAATGAGTTCAAGGGAAAAAAATAACGTCATATATTAGGATAGAATGGGAATCACGGAGTTAGAAGTTTGATGCTCTCATTTGATCCTTTTTGCATGACTTCCAACATGTTTTTGCTTACTAATGAATGCATTAGATTGATAAAATTTTTTAATTTTACCCTTGTTAAAGTTTCATCTCTATTTATATTTACAAATCATTCTCATATGATGTCTCTCCATTTTTTTCTCTTTTCAATAAGAATTAAATAATAGGTAAAATTAAAAAACAATAATTAAATAATAAATATGCTACAAGTAACATACCACCCTGGTCTTATTTATAAGTCTCTTGTAGGACAAAATTTGTTTCTAAATATAAGCCATTTGCAAGGTAATTAATGTACGTTAATATACTTTTGAACAAAATAATACTCCCTCCATTCCTTATTATAAAAGACATTTGATGCTTATGGCATGTTCCTATATATAAGAGACACTTAAAAGTTGTCTCTATTTTTTGTTTGATTTCTTATTTTACCCATATTTATTGTTTCCAACTCACACACTCTCTCTCCCTCCCACTTCTCTTTCTTTCAATAATTTAATTGTCCTCTCTCATGCTCTCTCTCCTTATTAATGAGGGCATTTTTGGAAAAAAATTATATCTTTTACACATTAATTGTTCTTAACTAATTTTAACTTTTTTTTATCAACGTAATTCGGTTATTTGTCTCTTATAATAAGGAACGGAAGGAGTAATAAATAAGAGGGGAAAATGACCATGTTGTCCCTGTTCCTTTCCATTCATGGAACGCGCTTCGTCTTTTCATTCAATACTTTCCAAATCATTACTTTAAAAAAAAAAAAAAAGTATTCAGGTAATTTGATATTAAAATTACGTAAATTAAAATTTATGAGACTTTATAGACGCATTAAACGTGCCTATGAACTGTCATTCTAACAATCTAACCCCAGTTTTCGTTTTATTTGCACTTTTATTTTTAGTTTCATTCCTATTAAAAATTCTTTCGTGATGTTTCAAATAATTAGGGAGAGAAATGTGGCCGCGGACTTGTGGCATGCGTATGAGGTTGAAATTTGACATGTTGGGGCAGAACATGCGGGGTTATGATAAGAGGATGCGATGCCGTACATCAAACCAGGCGCTTCTTTTCATTCTGGTCAATGATGTCCCATCCATTAATTATCATATTTCTTTACATGTTTAATATAACAATTGGTTTAATATTTAATTTAATTTTAATTATAAAATATAATATATTTTGTCTCTCATATTTATTTTTTTAAAATAGTAACTGTAGTAGTTATATACATTAAAAGTT